TACTTCTTTATTGAGTTGTGAGGAACATGCCACTAAGAGAGTTTTATTTTCTTTACTGTTAATAGTTTCTCTACCTTTTTTACATATAAACCATTCACTTATGGCTCCTCTCATGTTCTCTAGTGTTCAAATCTAATGATGAAACTTTACAACTACTTTACTGAGCTTTATATCCTCAGTAAAGTAGTTATAAAGTCATATGATTACAAGTTTATTATAATGTAATATTTATTTGAAACTAAATGCATATTTTTTTTAACTTTTAAAATGATTCTTATTTTCGTATTCAATAGAAATACAAATTTCTATTTCCCAAATTTTAATCTTTCCAGCAATAATTTTTCATAATATTTTCATTACCTGTACTCATTTCACCATACTTCTTTGGTTTGATGAGCCTTAATCAGGCTTGGACAGGAATGGCATGTGGTCGAATGCTATTGCTGACCACACAAATGTTTTTTTTTTACATTGGCTTCTTACAATAATCAAGGTACATTTGTTCTTAAGAGAGATGTTTATGTAAAAAAGATTTAAAAAATGATTAGTTTTTATACGATAGTGCTCAAGATGATGAAAAATGTCGAGTAGAATTAGACTTGATTTAAAATTGAAAAGAAGTAATTAAAGCTTCAAAAATTTTATTCCATAAGGAATAAAAGCTTCCAACATGCTCTTTATGCATATATATTATGGATGTAAACATGTATGTTTGCTATTTATTTACATGCTGGCATACTATATTCTTTCATTGTTATATAACCTTTAGTATTTATATGGTGTAGTATTTGCCAAAAGAGAAGATGATCACATCAATGTGTAGTGTGACTTTAGCAAGACAAAAAGAGGCATAATTCTAGACAGATAAGAAAAAACATTGTATTGAAAAAGGTTTGTTAGAAGAGATTAAAGTAATTTAGGTATCAGCATGTAGAGAGGTAGCAGCAGTAGAAAATGATAGTGGTAGAATTAAGAAAACTTGAAGAAAGTGCCTTACATATTGTATGAATGAGCTTTAGTTAAAAAAAAAGTGCTCTAGATTGTTTATATTAGAGAAACAGATAAAAGAACAAAAAAGAAAAAAAAACATAAAAGAGGTAGGCTAAAGCCTGATGATGATAATGATGATGATGATGATGATGATGATGATGATGATGGCGATGATGATGATGATGATGATGATGATGATGATGATGATGATGATGATGATGATGATGATAGTGATGATGATGATCATGGTCATCATCATCAGGCTTTAACCTTCCTCTTTTATGCTGTTTCTCTAATATAAACAATATAGAGCATTTTTTTTTTAACTAAAGCTCATTCATACAATATGTAAGGGGTTGTTAAAGTAAAAGTAAATTGATAGTAGTTAAACTAGTCAATTGTAGTTAATTTGTATTTTTAAAATACTTTTTTGTTCCAGTGTTTGTATTTGTATTATATATATATATATATATATATATATATATATATATATATATATATATATATATATATATATATATATATATATATATATATATATATATATATATATATATATAATACAAATACAAACACTGGAACAAGTTGTTCCAGTGTTTGTATTTGTATTATATATATATACTCCTTCATAACACTTAGGAAGTATTAAGTATAAATTTCTAATTTATTATATGTAAAAAAAAAATTATTTTGATTTCAAAATATTTTTTGTTGGATTTTTTTTAAAGAAGCAACATTATGTAAATTTTTAGTAAGTAAAAGTTAATAGTAGTTTAGTTAAAACATTAATAAACATGTTTATCACAAATCTACATTTTTGACAGGAAGAGGAATGATCAAGAATAAAGTTTAGTACTTCATTATCTAGGAAAAGACCCTAAAATTTTTTTTTGGAGATTTAGATTATTAAATAGCTATTCAAATCACTTTTTTTTTTGTTCTCTTCTTTACACCCTTTCTATATTCTTTAGCAATCACAAGGATGTGAATGTCTGCCTGAAAGTCTTGAACTAGGCATCTATTTATTTCAAAGTAGAAATTTATGCACTGGGTATGTGACACTTGATACTTAAGAAATTTGAAGCTAGGATGAAGATCTACAAATTTTCAATCAGGAATTCAAAGCAACATATCATTTTCTCTTCATTTTTTACGTATTTATCTGTAAGTGATACTTTAACAACATCTTTAGATAAGTATCATTTATGTCAAAGAAGAGAATTTTTAAAACTGACCTAATTTATTTTTTTCTTCTCTGTTTTCAGCTACTTTAATAGCATAGCTATCATTAGATGGTTTCTGTGCTATGATGGATGACTTCAGAAACCATGTATGTAAAATATTGCTACATAAGGTACAATTTTATTGACATCTCTCTCCTCTTATTTCTTTAACTTCAGTTCTATTAAGTTAGTTAAACATTAATAAGTCTTATTTGTCATAAATCTTCATGATAAGAAGAGGATTGGTCAAGAAAAAAGTTTGGTACTTCATTACATAGATATAGAGACTCTAGTTCTTTCTACCTGAGTAATAAATATTTTTAGTACACAATCTTATGTAGTCTGTTCTGACCTTAGAAAAAGTATTTTAAGTATAATGTTTGCTAGTTACCAGCTCCTGTGTAATTTGATATAAGAGTTGTTTTATAAAAATGATGCAATCAAATCTGCCCAATCAGTTAATATTTTCATTTGCAATATCATTAAAAATTTTCTGAGCAATATTTTTTAAAGTTTACAAACAGGTGAGTTTTTGATGTCTTTCCTGTTGGTGTTTGCATGAAATGTTAGATGTGCCTCTCATTCATGTGTAGACGACATAAAAGTTACATTATATGCTTCCCGGCACCATTCCAATTAATTAGTTAAATTCCTCCAATATGTCCACCAGCGTTTGAAGCAATTGTATTGTAAGTATGCGTTGCCGATATAATAGTCACATTACCTTGGTTGCCGACAATGTACCAACTAATAAATTGAATTCCTCTATTATTTGCACCAGTGTTGGATGCAGTTTTATCAGTGTAAATAGCAAAAAATTTAAAAGTCTTCCTGTTAATTTTTGTTTCTGCATGAAGAAACTAGCATATGGTTTTATTGACTTAATTTAACTGCTTTGATGATATAATATGACAATATTTTCTTAAAATATATCCATTTGTTTGGTAGAATATACTGCAATAACCTTGAACAGCTCAAACTTTTGCTAAAAAAAACTTTTAAGGTTAAATCAAGCTGTTTTTGTGTCCCCTTTCAGCAAATTTCATCTGTTAATTTGAACTTTATTTTCAAGTAATGATGATATAAAAATAATTTGGTTTGAAAAACTTTAAGAAGTCACTCATAGACCTGCCTACTGTTTTCTTTATTTCTTTGTTATATTTTGATTTGAATAGAAATGACCATTATCTGACATAAAATAATGCTGTTACAAAATTAAACAAAGAACCATTAAGAAAACAATAAAAAATAATTTTATTGGTTTTATTAATTTTTTTTTGATCGCAAGCTATTAAATACAATTTTATTACCAAATAATAAGGAAGTCATTATGTTGTCAATTTTTGATAAATCTTTTGAGTGTGCAGAGTGAATACTTGTTGTTTTTTTTGCCACATGGTGGCAATTGCAAATAAAAAAAAGTTTAATACAAACTCTGTTAAAGTTAAATACAATGCATTGACAGAAGGATGGTATCCTTTCATCAACAGTTGCATTTAAGTTTAATATACTAAAGAATATATTAAACTTTAATCCACCTGGTTGAGGAACAATGAAAATAGTTTTGATACTGTGGAGAATAGAAACAACCCATAATAAATGTGTTTGAGGAAGGGCTCGATTACAAATTTAATTCATTTTAGGTTAGAAGCCATTTTCAATTGGATGGTAGGTTCTTTATTTGTACCTAGGTCTATAAAAATTCTTCAGGTGATTAAGAAACTCAGATGGTCCTAGAACCTTACCTGAAAAAATCAGGGCTGCTGATGTCTACTCTTCAAAATCTAATGGTTAGTAAGTCTGCAGAAGAAAACATCTTTGGAAAAATGAGTGACCTAGAAGAGTCTATTTTTTTCTTCTTTTTCTCAAGTAGAAAAGTTAACACTTATATATCTTTTAGTATTGAAAACTAGGTCTAGCATTAAAAGGTTTCCTTGACAATATTATTGGTACAACTAAAAAAGATCTTGTATTTGTTCAAGACAAATCTAGTTTCATTCTGGATTTGATAATAGTAAATTTGTATTGTGGCAACCCTCAGCCAGTTTTTGTTTGCACTTCTATTGATGGAGGTGTCAAAAATTGTTCAAGGAACTCCAATATAAAATAATTTGTGAATATGGTTTATCTGAGAATTTTTTACCTTTATGAAGATTCCGTTTTTTTTAATCCAACATTTAGTACCCTCTTCTGTTTTATAATTATTTTGCAAGTCTAAATTCAGTAATTAATATAAAGAATAAAAAACAAATGAAAAGTTATAAAAAATTCTCAGATAGGTTTTCTCAATATTCCCATTTGCCCCATTTTTACCTATAACTCTTTGGTTTAATTTTTTTATTATTGTAAAGCATATACTCTTAAATAAAATAGGCTTTGTTTTAGTGACATGACTTAAAATCTAGCAGTCTGCTTGGTCCATCGTGACTGAGTAGATTTGTCAAAAGTGATACTTTAGTCTCAATTTGACCAGACAGACAAACAATTCAACTAGATGAAAAGTAGTCAGCAATACTATCAAGTCGAGAATTGCTAGCTTCTAGTTATTAGCTAAAACAGTTCACTTCTAATGCTTTCTTTTTTTTTTATCATTTATTCACGAGTTTATTGTTTTTTAGCTTATTTAATTAAAGATCTGCTGAAGTATTCCCTTTAACAAAATATACTTTGTTAAAAAGTGAAAAAATAGTAAAAAATTGTTTTTTCTGACTAAACTTTATTGACATTTTTTTCTTATATTTTAAGCATACTATTTATGAATAAGTAAATAATAAAATTTCTTTACAGAATACTGTTGTTAAAGAACCAATTGATCCACTAATAAAGGAAAAAATTATGGAGCTAACATGGATTTATGGTGAACAATCATTGTTATCTATTAAAAGTGATTTAGAGGATTATGTAAAAAATTTATTTCAAGGTATTATATATATATATATATATATATATATATATATATATATATATATATATATATATATATATATATATATATATATATATATATATATATATATATATATATATATATATATATATTATATAAAGAGTTTGATTATTTGAAAAAATACAACTTTGTGATGGAACTTAAAGTTTCATGCCCTTCAGCAATCATCAGCCATATTTTATATATATATATATATATATATATATATATATATATATATATATATATATATATATATATATATATATATGTATATATATATATATGTATATATATATATATATATATGTATATATATATATATTTATATATGTATATATATATATATATATATATATACATAAATATATATATATATATATATATATATATATATATATATATATATATATATATATATATATATATATATATATATATATATATATATATATATATATATATATATATATATATATATATATATATATATATATATATATATATATATATATAATTACCATATATATATGTACACACATAAATAAAATTATTTTTGAAATTTAAATGTTGTTTTTTTGTTTGTTTGAATTTTTTTCTTTCTATTTTTAAAAATATTTATTCAAAATTTTTAAAGTTTTTCTTTTTCTTTTGATTAAAATTAAGTCTCTTCTCTAACAATATTTAAAAATAATAAAAAAACTTTAAAGATTGCTTTTTAAAGTAATGTCACCTCCTCCATCATTAAAACATTGTTTGTGTTCAAGTATAGTTATTTTTTTAGATAGCAATCCTCCTTTGAAAAATCGTAGACGTTATTATCCCAATGATAAAGATGTTGCTAATTATTTGTATAAGTTTCGTTTGTTTAACAAACTAACATCACAAGATGTTGTTCAACTTAATCAATTAGTTAGTACTTTGAAGGTAATTTTAAATGTTTATTTTTGGAAGATGTCTCTCACTAAAATTAACAATAAAATACATTTAGTAAATTTAAAAAAATTTTTAAATTTATGTTTTTTAATTATTTTTTAGTTTAAAAAAAAATGAGTTTATTAAATTTAATAATTATAAAACAACTGAAATCCAATATAATTGTAATACACAAAAAGCATGAATGTTTCATTATTTAGATGCAATTGTTACAGTTGTTTATTTTTATCAAACTCAGGAAAATCATGATGAGCGATTATTTTATTTGAATATTGAGGAAGATCTAGAACTGAGTTCAAACATTGAATCAAAAAACATATTTGTTTTTCAAACTACTGATCAACAAAGGCTCCTAGAAAGGTATGGCAGACAAGTAATATTTGTGGAAGTTACAAGCAAGTATCAGTACATTCCTTTTCCTTTATTTGCTTTATATGTAGCAACAAATGTAGATTACCAGCTTGTATTTTTATTTTTAATCCCATCACATTCACAATCAGGCATTAGGTGTGGCTTAAAAAAAGCTTTAGAATGGAATTCGCAATGGAATCCAAAGTATTTTGTTTTGGATTGTTGTGAAGAATATGTTTCTATTATTGAAGAAATGTTTAATGGTATGTTATTTTATAATTTTTTAAATATATATGGTATGTTATTTTTTAATTTATATTCAGAACAGTCATTAAATATTTTGCATTTATAACATTTTTTATTTTCAAACTCTTTTTATTAATAGATAGTTTTGTATATTTATCTGAAGCTACATGTATATCTGCATGGAAGTCTTGGTTAAATGACTTTATGCACTCAAATTGTATTGAAAAAGAAGAAAATTTATTGGACAGATTTGTTTCTATTGCTCGGTCATTTAATGAAGAAACTTTGCAAGAATCAGCTCAAAAGCTTGAAAAAAGTGACACATGGAAATGTTCAGATGACTTGAGAAATTGGTTTTCGACAAAATGGTTGGCTGAAGCAAAAGTATGTTTCTATTTTTATTTTTTAATAATTGTTGTTGCATAGTAAGATTATTGTTGCATAGTAAGTTGCATTAGAAATTATCATTGTCTTTGCAATAAAAACTTAATAATTTAATGTTCAAATAAATAATATTTATTGCTAAAAATATTTATGTTGCTCATTTATGGATATATATGATTGAATGAATTAAGTCAGCATGTAATCTAACTGAATTCATTTAATCATATATTATTTTACTGAAACTGATTTTATCCTACTTAGTGAACATGGTGGTGGTCTTTATGTTGATGGTCTGGTGAATGGTCTTTATGTTGATGGTCTGGTGAATGGTCTTTATGTTGATGGTCTGGTGAATGGTCTTGATGTTGATGTATGATAAATGATAATCATAAGGGTTGGTGGTCATGATGCTATGATAAATGCTAATTTAAAACAAAAATAAAACTTTCTAAAAATAAAAAATTTCTCAATAAAATTCGTAAGAAAGCAACAGACTCATACTTTGATAATATTTTTTTCATAAAACACAAGAGAAATCTCAAAAATATTAAATAATATTAATGTAATAATTTTAATAAGTTATAAATTTTTAAATAAAGTTGATAAGTATTAAATAAAGTTGAGAAGTATTAAATAAAGTTGATAAGTATTAAATAAAGTTTATATGTATTAAATAAAGTTTATAAGTATTAAATAAAGTTTATAAGTATTATGAATTTTTTAAATAGTGTGAAGTTTTTAAATACTTATATTGTAACTTTTAAGTTTTCAATTATTTTCTTTTAGTTAACTTTGTATATATTATATACAGAGTTTATTTTTTAAATAATATTGGTAAAAAAATCTTTTCCTAACCTACAATCAATAATATACAAATATTTGTATATTTGTTGTCATTTTTTGTTCATTAGTACCTTAGTTTAAAACTTTTATTTTTCTTGTTAGCGCTGGGTGGTTGGATACAGGCATGATCAATTCATTCCAACACATCATTTGGAAGCAAATCTTTATAATGATATCTCTATGCTGTGTGACATGCATTTCAATTTTATTAAAAATAGAAAACTGCACAACTTAATAAATCATTTAGTTGATTCCTATGTTCCAGAAGCTTATAGAAGGTAATTCTTTTTTTTTTTCAATTTTTTTTTTTTTTTTTTCTTTACATAAAAAAACACATTGTCATTAGATCACAATAAGGTGAACAATATTTTATTTACCACCTGCGTTTTGTACTGTATTTAATTTTCCAAGGCTATTTAGAATAACAAATTATCTACAAGGTTCCTTACTTTACTGTTCACCTTTTGCTGCTACATGAACTTAGGGTTTTGGATTTAATACTAATATCTATTTACTATCTAACTCTGATGTTAGAGTTTTCATTTTTTAACTCCTTAATAATGCTTTTAAGTACATTGTTTTCTACGTCATTTTTAGATTTTTTTGATTCATCACAGGGCTTTTAAGTGTGACAACTGGTTGTGGAGTTGATTTTTTACTAGTTTAAATTTTAAAAGTCTTTCTTAATTGGTATAAATAATATTAAATTCAATAAAAACATTCAAAATATAAATATTGATCTAAATCTTTTTTTTTTAAAGTAGTCCGTAAGTATTTAGACTGTTTCTTTGTTTTTCTTGTTCAGCGAAAGCAATGATTTTAAAACCAAAACATGTTTGCCATTTCCTTTTTCTTCTGCAGAGATCCAGAGATTAAAAGCAATATCTAAAGAACACTAAAATTAAAAGAATTTTTACTTGAGGCATAAATAAAGGCTGCTTCTTTTAAAAAAGTAAAATATTTTTTATCAACGCCTAACTAAATCAGGCAGGCTCTTTTGTGATCAATTGTGTGGTACTAGAACATACAGGAATCGAATGAATATTCCCATAAATATTGGCTATATAAATAAAAAATGATTAAATATTATTCCTATAGCTAATTCATTTTGGTTATTTGTTAGTTAGCATTTAAAAAAAAGGTTAAAAAAAACTTCAACTTTCATCATGCATTCAAAGTCTGGTAGATATTTTTAGAAACGTAACACTAACCTGTGGCTACTATAGCCAACTTAAATTAGTTGTGGAACTAGACTAAAGGCATACTATTAAGTATGCTTTAAACCCCTTTTTCACTTGAGTTAACATTGATAGTATTTACCCATGCATGACAAGCATTGCTCACATGAAATATAATAAACACTGAATTTAAAAGCTTTTTGATCAAAAAATATTTTAAAGGGGTTGCAACAGATCCTCAAGCTTTAAATGGGTTCTTAATATTAAAGAAAAATTTTTTTCTTCAATATTAGGAACCTATTTAATGCTAAATTGTATGTATGTATGTATGTATGTATGTATGTATGTATGTATGTATGTATGTATGTATGTATGTATGTATGTATGTATGTATGTATGTATGTATGTATTTATTTATGTATGTATGTATGATGTACGTGTTTATGTATGCATCTAAAATTTATGTACGGGTTGTTTAAATTATTTATAGATATATTGATACCAACATAGCAGATTACGAAAAACATATTCTACTTACAAAAGCAGATAGCACACCTTCGTTTTTACAAAATAGACCGGTAACTGTATGCTCTCATATTATTCAAAGAATAAGCAATGATAATTCTTGTTCAGTAGCTCAAATTCAAACCGGAGTGTTTATGGTACTTAATAAAGAAAACCATGATAAATCGTACCATGTGTCATTTGGAGACAGTTCATCTTTTCCTTCGTGTACTTGTGACGATTGGTTTTGGTATAAATTACCTTGTAAACATATTTTAAGTGTTTTTGAAACACTAAATGGACAAGGTTGGGATATGCTACCCTCAGTTTATACAGGAAGTCCGTTATATAACTATGACTTTTCTTGTTTTGATAAAAACTGTGAAAATTCGTTAACTCTCGATAAGAGTGTGGACTGCTCCAATATTAATTCATCCGAAACGAATAAAGTTTCAACAAATTATACAGTCGCGTCTACGCATTTAAATTTCGATGACGAATACAAAAATAAACTGATTTCTAATTGTAAAACGATAATAGAAACATTGTCTTCTGCATTATTTCAAGTAAATCACAATGTGTTGCAAAAAGTTCAGTTAGATCTGCAAATAATAATGAACTATATAAATCAAGAAAAATCCGAGCCATCATTGGTTGATAGTCCTAAAAAAAGACAATCTAGTTCACCTCAACCAGAAAAATACAAAAGATATAAAAATAATACTGTATTACACGAAAATAAAGTGGAAAGTTTAAATGTTTGCGTAAACAATTTGTTAGAGTCACCTAATAGTGATTGGATTGCTGACAATGAACGTAATATTAAGCTGTCTCGTCAAGATCGAAATAAAATTTTATCTAACTTCCCAATAACGGTTGATGTAATTGAATGTTCACAAACTATTTTAAAGTGTCAATTTAACAATGTGTTTGGTCTTTACAACTCAAAAAAGTTGTCTCAAATCGCCGATGAAATTTTTGATTATGATAAAACTAAACGTATTCTTCAAATCCATTTTGCTGGTAACGGACATTGGGCTGCGTCTGGAAAGATTGGTAATGGAATTTATATATTTTGCTGTGAACATTGTGATAAATCTAAAATTAAAAAACAACTTATCAGACTTACTTTACAAGACATTGAAAAAAGTATTATTTTTGTAGAAAGATCTGATGATGAAAAGTTATATCAATGTGGCATGTATGCTATTGCCTATTGCGTTTCGATGGCTTTAGGCGTTGATCCTCGAAATATTAATTTTGTTGAGCAGGAGATGAGATTGCATTTAGTAGAATATTTAGAAAATATGTGTTTTTCAATGTTTCCTTTTAATGATGCATAAATTATTCTTGAGTTTTAAATAAATTTATTAATAAAATACAAAGTTATTTCTGAGCCTGGTAAATACAGAACGTGTTTATTCAAGACGTCACAAAAATACGTTTCATTGCGTTTTTCGGGAAATTTAAGGCTTCAAAATTACGTCCTTTTTTAATTTGGATTTACCCAAACAATTGCTTGTTTATATTTCAAACAATTAACTCGTTGGTTTATTGTAAAGGAAAACTAAGGGTGGAGGGTATTTTTTTTTATTTTATAACTTTTTTTTTTTTGTAACTTTTTCTATTTTATCACAACCTATAAACTCCAACCTGCTAATAGTATTTAAACTGAATTATTTTCACGATGCATCCATGCAAATTTTACATTTAAACAATTTTGGAACTTTAAAAAATAATTTTACTTCAAAGGACTTAATTGTTAGAAGTAAAAATAAAAATTTTGACATACTAAATCAGTTTCCGATAAGTGGCAGTTTTATTTATGATGATTTCTCTAAACGAAGCATAGTGTTTTGATAAATCATTTCAAATAAGTTTAAATTTTCAAATTGTAAATTTTATAAACTAATTTTACTGAACAAAAAATAAAGAAAATTAAAGAATGAATGGCGAAACGATCAAACGATATTTCAATTTCTTCCTGCTATAATATTTTAATTTTTAACCGTTCGGTGATCAAGCTATCAAATTTGCAAGTTATTTAAACGAAATCTCTCTCAAAATAAACGATCGAAGAAAAAAAAATTTTGATATTGAAGATCTAAAAATAGACTGTCTAAATTACAATATGTGATTACTATAAAAATCTTTTTTTATATATATCTTCTAGATATGTATTTTTCCATTAATTAAGGTGGTACTAAAGCTATTATTAAAGTGTTAAATAATGTATTCAAAAGTTGCAAATTAGAAGTTTTATTTATAAAAAACTAAAAAAAATAAATTTTGAAATAATTTGTAAATAAATTTTTTTTTTAAGATTTGGGTAAGCCTCGCTTACCAGAATGCAATATCTCAAGATGGGGTCATTTATTTGTTCCAAAACTTTACAACAACATAGGTCCATAATGATGTAGGAGTTGTACTAGAATCATCTACTGTGTGCATATAGTTTAGAAGTAAAGGTTACTCCTAGACTATATGCATACATCTACATTATGCATACAGCCTAATATCTACTGTATCTACTCTAATATATGGCCTATAGAAATTCTATAGAATTCTAATGAATTTCTAAAGAATTTATGTTAATTAAAAAAAAACTCCTACAGAAGTTTTTTTTTCTACTTTTTTTTTATAGAAAAAAAGTTTTATATAGAAATTCTATAGAAATTCTATAGAAATTAATAGACATTTTATAGAAATTCTATAGAGCTTCTATAGGCCATATGTTTCAAAATTTATAGAAAATTCTATTAAACTTTTTTTCCTGGATTTTCTGCAATAAATATGATAAACTCAGCAAGCAATTCATCCCATTAAAAAAAGTCCGTACTACTCGTAATGCACCGTGGATAAACAAGGAAGTACTAGTTATAATAAAGATAATGCACCGTGGATAAACAAGGAACTACTAGTTATGATAAAAAAAAAAAAAAAAAACTGGGCAATTACTTATCTGCGAAAAACTGGCAATTAGCAACACTGATTCATGAATATGGGAAACTAAGAAGCCAAGTGCAGAAAGCATATAAACGTCATGTTCGAGTATTTGAGGCACAACTAGCATTAGATAAAAAGAGTCCTAAAAGGGTGTACGCTGTTGTCAAAGTATAAAAGGGTGTACGCTGTTGTCAAAGTATAAAAGAGTGTACGCTATTTTCAAGGTGCTATATTTGATAAAAGGATAAAACGTTAACAGAGGGAATACATATCATAAACAGACTTAATGAACAATTCTAATCAGTTTTTGCTGATGATAGTTAAAATAGTCAGTTTCCTGTTTTTGAGAGAATCCATTATCGTGAAGACTTAGGCGATATAATTATTAATTTTGAAGCGACGTTAGATTATTTGAACGGTTTGAACCCGAATAATTCTATTGATGCTGATAACATTAGTCCAAAGGTAGCACTGAGTATCATTTTTACTTTACTTTTTTTCGAGGGGTCTTAACATGCTTCTCAAATTTATTAGAACGTATTTTTTTTCGATAGACTTAATAATTATTTAACTGACAACAAAATACTATATGATAAACAATTTAGATTTAAAAAAAATCACTCAACAGATCATACAGTAATCGAACTAATAAATTATATATTTAATGAGTTCAATAATGATTTCTATACATTAGGAGTTTTTATCGATCTGACAAAAGCATTCGACACTTTTAACCATGACATACTTATCAAAAAACTTTATGAAGTATAAAACAATAACTTACTCTGGTTTAAAAGTAACCTGTCAAACAGAAAACAATACATAATAACTTGTGTTGTCCCCCAGGGATGAATTATTCACAAGACCACTATTATTTCTTTCTATATAATTGATTTATATTTAGCATCCAAAATTTTAAATGTTATTTTGTTTGCAGACGACTCTTATTTTTTTTACTCAAACAACAATATAAAAGATCTGTTTAAAAAATTTAATGAAGAATTGTTAAAAATTTATGAGTGAATTAAAAGTAGTAAACTTCATTAAATATTGAGAAAACTAATTTTAAAATTATCCAACCTCTTAATGAATAATACAGCTATTAAAAGAGAATCAACTGTTAAATTCATTTAGGTGATATTAGATAAAAAATATATTATGTAAATATTAAATCTATTGAAAATAAAATTCCAAAAATATTTCTGTGCTCTATAGAGTTCTATCTATGAGTCTTTTAAAAATATTTTTCGTTTATTCATAATTATCTTTCTTGTTACAATAATACCTGGGGAAATATCAACTATGACACCATACACCAACTATGACACCATACACCAACTATGGAAAACTTAAAAAAAGTTAAGGCAAACAAAAACATGGGTGCAGATTATAATTGGCGTTAACAGAACTGTTAAAGGTGAATCTCTTTTAAATGAACTTAATGTACTCAATATTTATAAGCTTAATATACCAAGTTATGATGTTTATGTTTAAATGAAAACATGGTTTATTTCCTAATATCTTTTACTTTTACATTACCCAAATTTCTCATAGATAATCCACAAAATTTTCAAATGATAAATTTGTTATTCCAAGATCTTATTTAAAAATCAGTTCATTTTAAATTGAATATCGTGGACCATTTCTATGAAAAAACTTCGTTCAAAATATTTTTAAAAATAAAACTTTTCCGAATTTCTTTTTAGAAAAATAAAATATTTAAAGTAAAAAAGTCATTACTACTCCCTTATTTTTGTCTTGATTTGTCTTAATCATCTGATTTTTGTTTCGTATTAAAACAAATAATTTATGGTGTTGTGTTTTTTTAAATATCTTATCATGCTGTTTAGCCTTTGTAATACCTGCGTAGAATTGTATTGTAATATAGTTTTTTTTTAAAAAATCTTATTGGTTATAATAGTTAATCCATGTATTTTAGCATTTTTAGAGCTTTATATTATATGTTTATTACATTAACGATGTTTATAAATCTTACTATTACACAAGCGGTTATTAGTTTTCAATTTATTATTGAAACTAACCTAAGTTTATTTCCTTTCTTATAAACTAGTATTAAACTGGTTTCTCTTCTTGGTTGTATAAATTAAGCCTAACTTTTTTCCATTTATAATAGAATTTAAATGTTTATTATGACTACTTAGACCTAGATTCTCTGAGACCTATAAAAAAGTTTAAGGAGTAATAATAAACTAATTTTAAAACTAAAAGTTTATTTTGAATTGAGAATAATATTGTTAGAGCTAGGAAAGTTTATACATTATTTTCCATTTTCATTCAGCAAAAGTTCGCAAAACTACCAGTATGTACAGTGGATTTACTATGTTATTGGTTCAACCATAAACCATACTAAGTATAAATGTAAAACGTAAACTAGGAGTAACAGCATTTTTTGTAAGAACCCTGAAAATACGACAGCCTTGCATGATAACTTTAAATACACTAACTATTAGTGCACATTTGTCATAACCCTTATATTTAGTACATCATTAAAGTTATATCGTTTTTGACTTGTGTCAAAAACGTCATGATGGTCGAAAACGTGGGATACAAATAAAACATAAAAATAAAAAATCTTTGATTTTGCAGCAATTAATCTTAGCTGGACAGTGTACAAACTTAATAACTTTTATTTAAAACGAACTGTACCATTGTTTCTTGCTATTTAACGCAAATGCGGAAGCATTTTCAAACTTTAAATAAACCCAGAACAAAATGTTTGAAAGCATTTTTCTTTATTTTGAGGAATTGATAGTTCCTCACTAAAGTAAAAAATCGATACCTAAAACAACATAGATATATAAAGTTGAAACATGATTTTCAAACATGCGCTTAAAAACAAAGGGGGCATCAGGATGATCTGCCATTTTTGACAAATTGATTTTTAAAAGCCAGATTCTTTATAACTCTGCACATGCAGGCTTTTTTAGCGTTCTATTGCTGACAAGAACAATATAAAATGCTGTTACTTTTACTGACTGTAATGTGGAGAGGTTTGATATTGACGTTCAAAAAAGTATTTAAAAGAAAAGAAAAGAGGAAATAAATGAATGAGAAGACGTGAGAGAGAATGAATAAGACAACACAAGGATTAATGAAATATAATCCAAAGATTAAGAGTGAAAAATAAAACGATATCGTAAACAAATAAAAATGTGCAAAATAAATGCAAACTTAATATATACACATTTACATACAGTATTAAAAAATCATAGATCAAATATACAACAAAAAGTATAAACAATGCACAAAATGAAAAAATGTATTTTTTCATTTCTTTCATTAACTTTACAAGAAATCCGTAGCAGATCCGTAGCAGAGCCATTTTTATATTTTATTTAAGTTTTTACTATGATTATTTTCTTTTTTTGTATTCAATTTTTGTTTTCAAAAGTAATATTAAAAAAACATTTAAGTTTTAAACC